CTGTGGTGACAGACTGACAGTGACACACACATAGAGAGCAAACCGGCAGCATGGCTGCTGTGGCAAACGCATCTAGCATGCATCCCGAGCTGCTGGAGGCGGCAATGGCATGCCATGGCAGCTGCAGGGAACTGACGAACCTTCTGAACGGAGGAGCGGCTGACGTGCCTATTGAGGTCGTCGTCGACGTCGACCACCCCGCGCGCCCACCAGCGTCGTCCTTGCTCCTGGAAGGGGTCACCCCAGACGGGGACTCCGCACTCCACATCGTAGCAGCCTACGGGTACCTGAAGAAAAAAGCCAGGGCAGTCTACGACAAGGCGCCGCGCCTCTTGGGCGCGCACAACGGCGGCGGCAGCACGCCGTTGCACCGCGCCGCCAGGGCCGGCCACGCCGCGATGGCCGCTCTCCTCGTTGAGCTGGCGAGAGGGGAACAAGTCGCTGGTGAAGATGGGAGGGTGGAGACGCTGGTGAGGATGCAGAACGGGCTCGAGGAGACAGCCCTGCACGAGGCGACCCGCGCTGCTCAGATGCCCACGATGGCTGAGCTGATGGCAGCGGACCCCTTCCTCGCTCGCGTCCCGGACGACGGAACCGCGCCGTTGTTCCTCGCCGTCTCCCTGCGACATGAGGAAATCGCGCGGGAGCTCCACGAGAGAGACAAGAAGCTGTCATACTCCGGGCCTGATGGGCAGAATGCTCTTCATGCTGCAGTTCTTCGAAGCAGAGGTACCTTAATTACTTCCCAACTTGGCGCATTAGTTTCCTCCGTTGTACCGAAATGATCAAGCATAGCCATGTTTGTTCTATGCCACTGCTGTGATCATAAAAAATGATCAAGTTTAGGGGTGTGCGATTTTCTTTCACACACGCATTAATTTCAGATTCCCTCTTGAGTGCATAGCAATTATTCACACCTAGGGTAAAGATTTATTTATCAAAGTCATTCTTCTACATATAACAATAAAGAGTTCTACTCAATGATCAAACATTTCCAAATGTACCTTTACACATGCATTTTTGCATATAGCGCTGTTTGACACAGAGAGGATCAAATTGCAGATATGACAGAATTACTACTGAACTGGAACAAGGAGCTTACTAAAAAAGCGAGACCAACTTGGAAACACGCCTCTACACTTTGCCGTATCATTAGAAACGGGCACACGTGGTATGCTTCCCCAATATGCCGTGCCAGTGGTAAATGGAACTAGTATTACAAGTTTTCTGAACGTAGTTGAAACACCAATGGACCTTACCATGCTAATATTGGAGGCGGATGCATATTCAGCATATCAACCAGACAAAAAGGGTCATTCCCCATACATGTCGCTGCTTTAGCGGGAAGACTTTCATCTGTCATCATCTTACTTTTAAAGTGCCCAGGTTGCGCCAGCTTACGTGACGCCCGTGGGAGAACTTTTCTCCATGTTGCCGTCACGAAGAAAAGATATGATATAATTCGGTATGCGTGCCAGACACCCATGTTTTCGTCAATTATGAACAAGCAAGATAATGAAGGAAACACTGCACTACATCTAGCTGTGGAGGTTGGGGACTGGTGGAGTTTCACTTGTCTCTTCGCAAACAAAGAAGTAGATTTTAATCTACCAAACAACAAGCAACATACCCCGCGAGAAATTTCAGTTAGCAGTACTCCAACCGGGTTGTACTGCCTGTCGGTAAACCACGTACATTCCTTTCGTTCAGTACCTTATTTCCTAGATTCAGAGAGAAATAGAAAGTTGATAACATGATATTGCTTTTTTTTCTGATCTGCAGCACTCATGGATTTTGATACAACAAGCTCTCATATCTGCCGACGCTACACTTCATATCTGTCGGCGAAATATCATGAAAAAGGGACCTAGTAGCCAATCTGACGCTAAGATTGATGCGGTAATATCAAACTCAACGCAATTTCTCGGCCTTGGCTTAGCATTAATTACAACAATGGCTTTTGGTGCTGCTTTCGCCTTACCTGGGGGTTACAGAGCAGATGACCACCTTAAGGAAGGAACACCAACTCTATCTACCGAAAAAGTATTCTAAGGATTCTTGATGGCGAATGCACTGGCATTTATATGCTCGTCTTTAGCCGTCCTAAGCCTTGTGTTTGCAGGAACACCTACAGTTGAAATACCCATGCGCTACATGCACTACAATATATCCATATAGTTATTTTTACCCAAAAAGGCTTTCGCCCCGCTTTATATATAAAGCATCGACCAACAACAATCCGGTACAAACGCACGCCATCACAACACACACACACACCCGAGGCAAGATACATAAGCGCTGAGCGCAGCAACACCACCCCAAGCACTACAAGAGCAGCCGGGTCCTTGACCGTGAACACGCCACCGTGAAGAGATGAAGCCGCATGTGACGAACCGTGGGCTCCAAGGCGGTGCCTTCAGGAAGGATACGACACCGGAGCGCCGCCACCGCCCGACCCGAGAGTCAGAGTTTCCCCTGGAGCAACACGACGGGCAATGATGGCCGCGACGACGCCTTCAGGAAGGGAACGAGCTTCGCCGCCGCCGGTCCGTCCGAAGATAGAACAGGTTTTCACCCCGGCTAATACTCACCGCCACCGAACGCCACACCCCGGTGACCATGCCGCCCACACGACCATGGTCACAGGGCAGCACCCAGGCACAGGCTTTGCCCATGAGCACCGTGACACCACCACCAAGGCCGCCGCCCCGACATCCAAGACCTCGACGCCACCTCACCAGTTACCCAGCGCCACGCCACCTATAGAGACGGGTGGAAAGGCCCCACCTTTTGCACCCCTGAGCTGCCCCCAACCAGCCGCCATCGGCCCGTCCTGCTGCCGGGCGCGAGACTAGCGCGGTCCTGCTGCCGGGCGCGAGACTAGCGCGGTCCTGCTGCCGGGCACGAGACGGCCGCGGTCCTGCTGCTGGGCGCGAGACGGGCGCGGTCGTGCTTCCGGGCGCGAGACGGGAGCGGTCCTGCTGCCGGGCGCGAGACGAGCGCGGTCCTGCTGTCGGGCGCGATACGGGCGATGGACCACGGCTGGGAAAAGCCCAATCCATCGACGGAAGTGGAGCGCGGGCGACGGGGAGAGGAATCGAAGGCCGTCGCATGCCGCCTACGGACGAACCGACGCCGAAACATGCCAGCCGCCGTCGCAGCCGACTTGCCAAGCTACTATGGAACTCTCCACGGCCGGAGCAGCAGCCACACGAGGCCACTGCCCATCCCGCGCCGCCCGCCGGACTCCAGGACTGAATCCGCCGGGCATGCAGCCACCAGATCGGCCAGCGCACCGGTCCCACCACCTGCGGCGCCGCACACACCACCACACCTGCGCCGCCACC